AGGACATGAACCATGACCCTTGGGACTCAAAACATCATAAAAAAATGACTGATGGTTGGAGTTGCCTTAGCGTCGCTCACAAGATGCCAAAGACAGGATTACACGCACTCGCAGAACTGAACGCAGACAGCTGTGGACTGTAGGGAGACACAGGTGGTCTTATTTCACTACTTTCTGATCTCTTTAAGAGGATCCATGCACATTTAATGCTCTTAGTGGAGTGACTCGGTGCTCCATGGTGGAGTGTCTCCATGGTGCATGCTTTTTTCTTACGAACGAGAAATACCAGATTCAAGACCACGAGACAACACAAACCAAGGCTCAGGAGCTACAAGCTAGTTCATAGATGGAATGATTGCTTTGTACCAAATTAATCAATCCAGTGTGGACTGATCCATTGTGGCCACCATTTAAATAAGGGACCAGGTGAAAGTTCTTTCAGTGTAGTCCATATCCCCTTGACTTTATACAAAAGGTTTTGTTTTAAAGTACATACAGGCTATATGTACTTTTTTTTTTTTTTGCGTCTGTCAATTTGCAGTCTCTTGAACAGTCACCAGGGGGCCATTATAAACTTGTCCTCAGGTCCTATTTATGGCCAAATGATGTTCACTTTGAAGCTAAACATGACAATTTGGAATAAAGAAAGTAAAGAATTGCAAAAAACTAGCAAAATACTGTCTACTGGAGGCATCTCGGTTACCACCGCAACAACTTAGTACTACTATTAGCTTGTCAGCTCCACTTTCTCATTTCAAGAGCTCAAGACAGTGCCAGTTAAAACACCAAAACAGTAAACCAGTGGGTGAAGACATGTTGACAATAAGGATGGCACGTAGACATCCACACACAAGCAAGCAAGTACCATCTAATGATGGAATTTACATCACGCAGACAAATTGAGTTGCATAAAGATGCTACATACATTTAGATAAATATATATATTCCTTTGAGCAAATAATCCATAGTTTTTACTCCTTTATTTAGTCTTTTTTTCCCCCCACCACTTCATGTGGATGCCCATTCTTGAAAATACTCAACCCTAATTAATACCAGTGTCCATGTGGTCCCGACACAACATGAACTCAGCGGACAATGCTTGTAAACTCAGCTGGGGGCCCCTAAAATTCTGCCAGTGCTCCCGAGTGGCCCGCTGGGGTTTGAATTACACGACAGTTGCAGTGTCCACTGATACGTACAGATCAGATGTGCCTGTGTGTGCGGTTTGCGGCAGTATCCGCATAGCAATCGAAAGAAACACGAAAACAGCTGCTATGAGCATTATCGCATTTAGCATGAAGCTGTATCATCATCATTAACACATACAGCCAACAAGTGTGTTTAAAAAAATAAACACAGCAGGATTCTGTCACAGTCTCTGATGGTTCACTTAAGCGTGATTCTAGCACATTTTAGCATTTTTCCTTTTTCTGTCATAATCCAGCATCGACAAACAAGCGGGGGCGCCGGTCAGGGCAAAGGGGCCACACAGTGAACGTCCATGAATTAGTGTGAGAAATCTGTGAAGCAGCATGTGCAACAGATGGTGAACAACGCACCCTAACTGACTTCATATGCAGTAATCTGTGAGAGAAGTCAGCCTGTCGCTTAATCCCGCCTCAGCTTTCGTATGGCTTCCCTTACGTTCTCTAATGGGATTGTGGCCGCGGCTACACGAGGCTTTCTGAGGCTCTTCTAAATTGCCTGGGCTGAAGACCAAACAGACTGTCTGACTGATACGGCACATGACCGGAGCCCTATCTGTCAGTTGCCGGCTGGTGTCTTGCTCACATGCCCGACTCAACCACCTGCTTATTCCCGGATTGCAGGTTAGGGTGGGGGTGAGGGGGAACCGATGTTAAGTGCATGCGTGCAAAGATTTCCCTAGTGATGAAAATGTTAAGAAGAAACATCACACAACAGATGTTTATGTTATGTGACAGGTGTAGAGCTTACATAATGGACAGTAAATGACGCGTTAAAAGAAGAGGCATTTACACAAATAGTACAAGCAGCGCTGGCGCAGGGCATGCCGTTCTCTCAGGAGGGTGCAAACTATAAGAAATGTGCAAAGCTGAACCTGTAACCTGCCTCGGTAAGCTCCCCCAACAACAGGAGGGCTTTTGCCAGTGAGATCTTTTATTGTGTTTGTCAGTGTGCAGCAGTGATTTTATTTGTCCTCCTTTATAAATGTGAATGTCACCTGCCAGAAGTCATTACTGTGCCAAGAGGTTCCACGCAGGCTCACCGACTTGGCGACTTCACGGGTGTGCCAAAAGGTCCTCACGTCTTAACAGTGCGTGTGTGCTGAACTGCAGCCGGCGAGGATTAAGGGGAGATCGCTAAGCAGTGAGTGCGCGATGTATACAAAACATGGTGTTTCCGGGGCAGCAACAACGAAGCTGATTTTAGCGTTTAGTTGTTGTTGAAGAGGAAATATTATTCATCCACCCTAAGAAAAGAGGGGTTGGGTCAATTTTGGAATGTAGAGACTGGAATCTACATTTTACAAACCATCTTTAATTAAAGAGGTTTGCTTCTTCACACTGCTCCATATTTCATACAGAAGTGCAGCAGTGGGGCACAATTTCACCTGTCCAAGGCCAAATATGGACCTGCAACCTCTTTAGGCCATTCACCTACATTCAAGAATTTAGAGAATTTCCCAAACACAAGTCCTTTTGATCACAATAAAAAGAAACCATGTTACATGTAAAAGAACTGGCAAAATATGTCCATTTCCTTTATATAATTGTCATTATTACACTTTTATTTGAACTGTTTGTTCATTTATTTTCAGTAACTTGAACAGTCACGTGAACTGGTATTCCCATTATCAACTAAAAACATAATAATTATAGTATAGATTAACTAAGCTCCGCCTTCTGAGCTGTATAGCAACCCACCGAACAAAAAGACCAGTTAGTACAAAAACAGCCCACAAGCTACAATTTAAAGAGGCCAAAAAACTCAAAAACAAAATAACTCACACCAGGATGGCAGGTCAACAGTCAGCTGATGGTGAACTCTGAGCACTGAAAACCCACTTATGTTTAGAAAGAAGGTCGGGCTAGAGGAGAGGCCTCTGGGCAGAGTTATTACAGCTCCTCCAATTTGATTTTTTTGTAATTATAAAAAATAACAAGTAAAACTAGACTGATTTTTCCAGGGTTAAGAAGTCAAAAACAGGCAGGGTATTTTAAGCCATAATATGACTATATAAATAAACTTTACTTACTTAAAATGGGTCTTTAGGGGCGGAATAAGCACGTAACCAAGATTGGTCAACATACAGTTCAAGCAGGGAGTCTTTCTTACCTTAGTTAACAGAAGCTGTTATTTTGCATAACATAAAAAACTGCAAGACTAAGACTGAAAACATTTCCTTCATGTTTGTATTTTATTATAGTTTTTTCCACCAATACGTATTTTTACTAACCTTTCCTTACACTGTTTACATTATTTGGTTTACATCTATGTTTACTCTCTAGCCATAAAAAAGAAGAGAAAAATTGCCTTGGGGGAGGGACTGTTTACTGCTTTTTTCCTCCTTTGACAACGTAAGACATCATAAAAGCATATTCCAAGTTTTAATTCTTTTATAGGAGAAGGAAGATTGACAAACCTCCTTAAAGGTGGCAGGGCAACATTATTGATAACTGATGTACCACATGCATGTTAGTTTCAAAAGAAAGTATTGTTTGGTAAATATATGCCAATGGTGACACTACAAACTACAACTACAAAACCCTTGTGAAACCCTACAGTGTAATCTGCCGTGCATCTACCTGGAAATGTAAATAAATGAAACTGGAACAAATGGAACTATTGTG